CAACTTATTAAATTAGTCCATGAGCAACTATTTGTCAATTCAAATAAGAAAAAAAATTATATCTCGCTACTCGATATTTTTCCTCTGCAAGGAAAATCTATGAACCATAAATATGTTTTTGTATGTAACCATAATAACAAAATCATTACAAAAATTCGGTCAGAAACAAAAAACGTGTGTCCAGTCCAAAAACATATCTAATATTTACATTGAAAAAAACCATTTGGTACATAAAAGGGTAAATTATATGTATTATATTTGATAAAACATTATGAATAATAAAAACAATAATCTAAAAGTAACTAACATTATCTTTGAATGTATATTTAGCTTAGAGACATAAAAACTACCAATATTCAAGAAAATATATATTTGGACACAGTTACTCACTTCAGCTCACGGCCAAAACTGACCATTAATATGCTTCAAAAAATATTTAAAAAAAATTAATTTCGAGCCCAATTAAATTTAAAAAGTTAAATCAACCCTTCAAAGTCTGACAATATCCAGATATACCTTCAGTGGAGACCCTACAATATGAAACCCAGTCAATTGAAGGGTCTCCACTGAAACCCAGTCATTGAGAATCCAAGCAGCATAGTGTTCACAGAAAAGAAAACCATTATATTATAAAATCAATATAAACGTATTCGTTGATATTTGCACGCAGAATCTAAAATAAATATTTATTTGTGTGGTCCTGTAATTATATCTCACTACAAACGTCGATGATGTTCTTAAAGTATACATTTAAACTAGTTTATTCAGTTGTTTATATTGAACTAATTAAATTTATTCGTTTATAACTCTAATGTAGTGTCCATATTAATTATAAAGAAAAACTGTATCAGTCGATTAACCTAAACTTCTCATATTCAAAAGTCAAAACTATAGAAACTGTATAATAATCCATATTTATCTTTTGTAAATGTGTAAGTTATTATTGTTAGTTAGTCCGTTATAATTTTAAATTAATCTGCTAAACTTGTTTTTACTCGATCACGGCAATGTTATTTTTTGACCAATTCAATATAAATAAATAAATATATTTACGTATACCTAATACCTACGATAACTAATATTAATACTAATATTTTAGATTCTGAGCGGAGCGAGGAAGCTAGTGGTTTTACAATGGTGTTTATTAGATTCTGAGCGGAGCAAGGAAGCTAGTGGTTTTACAATGGTGTTTATTTTTATTTATTTTTATTTTTTTATATCCTGTATACAAAATTTCTACCAGAAGGAGTGCTTTGATTTCAACATATAGTACTTTATCTTTTAGCAAATTGGACCAAGATGGTACTTTAGAAAGGTCATTTTTCGATTTTCTCAATAGTTATATAATGCCACGGGAAAAACCACCGAAAAATTACGAAAAACCATTTAAAATCGGATTTTAATTTCTAACGCTTTGTTTATCACCATAGAAACGAATAAAAATTATAATATTAATTCAACTTACATGATATAATAAATAAATATAACTATATAAAATATCCAGACTGACAAACCGTCTCAGCTCAGAATCGTTTTTCTTATACAATGATATTATATCATTGAATTCAAGTTTAATACAATCCATTATACAATGACCCACTTGTAACCTACTATACAGCAGAGCGACATCCACTTACCCGCTTTTTTTATTTATATTTTATAATATATCTAGTTCAAATTGTTGTGATGTGCATACAAATTATGAACAATAAAAAATACAGTCCTTACATATTAAATTTAAGAACATAATAAGGTGCTTACTCAATATAACTCGAAGTATGGGAGATTGTGGAAAAATTAAAGTTTATCGAAATTAAAATTATTTTATTTAAAGTGTACAATATTAAAATGCCAACTACGTGAATGAGAACCATTTCAAATATCATAATATTAATCTATACCTAAGAAATAAATAATTAATATTTGTTTATGTCATTTTTATTATTCAAGTTACTATTAGTAGTTATAGCTATTGTTTATGACTAATTTGTAATTATTACAAAATTTAAACAACAATAAATTATAAAATAAATTACATTATAAGTGTCTATATTTTTCGATTTTGTTGTTCTTAGAATTACACGTACATTGTTAAATATAGTATGTTTTAATCCATGTAGTATGTGACCAACTGAGTTACTGTTATAAAAATATATCAACCCGACTTTTTGGATAAACATTTTTCAATTGAAAATTGGGTGAACGTTTATTGAAAAAGAAATGTTTAGAAATCTATTCGATTATTTCTATATTCCAGTGCAAGCAGGGCTTTTTCAAAAACTACAACGTTTTATATTATAGTGTCAAATTTAATTGTTTAAATTATTATTGTTCAATGTAATTAGATTATATGATTTTTAATATACAAATACATTCAACCGTATATCATAAACTTTTATAAAACCAATGGAGTATTCGTAACACAAATGTATACAGATTGATTTTAAACACAGTTTTATTATACTCATTAAATAATGTAATTATTCAACGAAACAGATGAGGTACCTATATATTTTGTAATAATATTATTATATTATACATCAATATTATAAAAAAAAACTATTATTTAAATTTGAATATTGGCATATACCAGCAAAATCCATGTCAACAAAAAGGCAATACAAATAAAAACGGTAATAAACATAACAAATAAAACTATCCAAGCTCAGCTTTTTGTAATTATAATATTATACATCACGAGTTGATGTCACATTTGAATAATGTGCAAATAAAAATATAGCCAGATAATTATTAAACTACTAACTATTTACTAATACTCATTGTGTCACGTAAAACCATTTTATTTGCTAGAAAAAGGGAAAGCTTTGTCGTGTATTGCTATTAGGAAATTATAAACCAGTTTCTTGATTCAAGACGTTTTAGCATATTATCTATGTGAATTCTTTTAATTTGTTTTTAACGATTACCTACATAATATATAAATTTGGTACAATAAACTAAATTGAGGCTAATGTTGTACCTAGGTACGTCGTAATTCTAAAATAAATAAATAATTTCTCGTGTTTAATCGATAATATTGAATCGAACCAGATAATTACTATGTTCAATATTATTGAGTGGTAAATTATTAGTAATGATAGGACTATTATACGAAACAAGAGTTTTGTGATCGTGTTCAACTTTGAACAAATTTGTATTGGATTTGATTTTAATTACATTGTGTTAAATGAATATTGAAGTAAACTATATACAAAATAAATAAATATATGTCAATTACTCAGTTCACATTCGTGTTTTATTATTGAATTAAAATCTTAAATTTTAAATTACATTTTCAGCATGTAATTAATTTGCTTTTTAATTGTATTACACAGACTTGATTTTAACAGCAAAGAAAACTAATTTATATTTATTTGAGTAGAAAAGAGTTGTTTAAATAAAATTGTAATAATTGTTAAAAGATAAAGACAATTAATGAAAAAAAAAATAAAAACGGAGATAAAAAAATAAATAAACCAGCAGTTAGTATACACGTAAATCAAACGAAAATGAGTAAAAAAGGTTCATTTAAAATAAACAATAAATAATCAGTAGGAAATAGAAATCATCGTGAGACGCACATAGACTTTATATAATTTTTTTTTTATTCGAAATGAAGGTTCGTTTGAGTGGGGTGTACTTTCGTTGATAGGAATCGTATTTAATTAAGACTTCATTTTATTATTATTTTTCCAATAGCCGTCTCTCGAAACGCTTAAAATATTGTACGTTCTTCGACGTTCGCTCGTCAATAATAATTATTAATTTAAATATTATAAATTATAATATTTATTCCGAAAGAGTTAATGAGAGACCATAATATTATTATAATATTGTGTTTATACTGCAAACAAATTTATACGATATAAGATTAAATATCTATAAAATATTGAAATTGAGTAGGTTTAGGTATATATAAACTAAATACAATATATTACGCTCAATGATATTACATATTATAACATATTATAATATGTTTCAACGTTATCATTTTACACTTTTACCTATAACCACAGAATTACGTACATATAATTATTATAATATGAGTTTGTGCGTCTAAAAACAAAACGATTATAATATAGACTATATAGTTATATTATTAGGGATAATGGGGTATAGCCAAACAATATCGATTAAAATATTATGTTTGAAACTGTAGGATTTACTCGTCATAATGGAGGTTATAGTATGAATTTATCCATCCGAAGAAATATTTTATATTTTATGCAATCATTTCCAGGGTACAAAAATTACCAAAGTCGTTCAACGAGTTTTATTACGAGTCGTAAAATATACAATACTTTAGAGATTTTTATAGTTAAAAAATACTTTTTTTTTTAAGGCAAATGAACAAAAACTACACTTAAATACTTTATATAATATTATGTTATACGTGTACGTAAAAAACTATCATGTTTCTAAGGGCAGAAAAACAAAATTATATTCTAAGCAACGTTTATTATTACTATTAAAATATTTATTTATTTTTGTTGTTTTATCATTTACTGCCAAAAACAGTTTAATGATGTATTTTTATGAGTTATTGATTTTGTCTTTTAAAACAGAATTTTTAACTTGTTTTTCTTCCAAAGTCAATATTTTTTTATGGAACTTGTAGGTATACGTTGTAATACACAAATGTAAAAAAAAAAAACATTTCACTACTCAATTAACGAAAATTAATAAACATTAAAACTTATCACAATGCATTATATATTATTGATTGACTGAAGTTTCTAACTTTCGATCTTGTTAATGGAAACACAGACCTGCAGAAAATTGGAGAGAAAATAAAATTATCTTTGTCAAAAGTTAGTTGTGAAGAAACCTATACCTATTTACTTAGATTAATATAATTAAATACTTAATAAGTTGTTGGTGACATACATTTATATATAAAAAAAAAAAAAAACTATTTGCATAGTTGAAAAAGTTGTTGTATCGATATGAATATTTTTTTTACATTTTGAGATTTCAATTATCATTTGTATGAAGCATACATCTCTCCAGTCACGTCATTGTGTTTGACATTCTCTCTTGGGAAGTATAGATGTTTTTCTTCAGCATAATTCACAATGACACAACTTTCAGGAATCTCTGTTTTTAAACTAGATTTGTACACCTGTATCCAAAAATTGAAAAGTTTTAACAGCGGATTTTGCATTGGAAACAGAGAAATATTCAAATGCATGGAAAAAGTATTCTCGGTATTTCACATGATTTTTTCATAAAAATAAAAATTTTATTCATGTTAATGGGTTATAGATACTATATAATACGAATATAGATAAGAATTAAGAAGATCAGAGTTTTCCTAAGAAAAATATAAATAACGGACATATACATAGATACGTATTATTAAATATTTCTAGACGATAATGCACAAAAATAAAATAATAATGTACATAGAAAAGCTTACTTCAAATGACTCGATGAAGAATATTTATTATATAGTTTGGGGCATGTCGTCGCTTGTAAAAATCTAAGCCACAGTGTTATTCGTAGAAGCTCTAGAACATTTCAAATTATACTTAAAAGCATGATATTATATCAAAAACATATTTAAAGCTTACGTGGAAAACTATATAGTGATTAAGTGCGCCAAAAACTTACCTTACTCACGAGATATTGAAAATCAAAATTACCTACTTATACATAGTATAATATTTTCAATTTTAGGAATATGCAGCATTTTATTATTAAAAACGAACGCATCGTGTACAGTGCGCACGCGGGCCCGAGCCAAATGAATTTCTATATTTTTTAAATCCACGTCAAAGTTGTAAGTTTTAAACTTAACGACCCAAGACCAGAGGCTTACAAAGTGGTACTACGTCATCAGTGACCGACACTGGTAACGGGCTCCTTTGAAAAACTTTTGTACTTACTGCAGTTGTTAAACGTACCTTCTGTATTTTTGGTATCGCTTTTTTTCTTAGTACAAGCTCCAGTTAAACATTTTGATTATAAAAAAAAGCACAAACAAACCACACTGTTAGCAATGCTGCATGTTTATTTCGTCGTCTATAGAAGGATACAAATTACGAGCAAGTGTAACCAAAACGTTTGTTTTGTTCGATTTCTTTAAAAAATTCTTTGGACATTTTAAATGTTATCACACTAAAGATAATACGTATAATCTATGGCCTGTTTAAAAGGTGTCAGATAAAATACCATGATATTATATTTTACTAATGTGTACTACACAATACACGTTATAACTGTTGGTACATTATTATTATTATTTTGTGTTTTGTTACATATGGGAACAAAAGTGTGAATATTAGACAAGTGTTTAATTAACGCTAAAGTACAAATTTAATTCAATTAAGGGTAAAATATGATATTATATTATTATTTACATCAACATCATTATAAAAGAGCACATTTTATGAGTACAAAAAAATTATTCTCTTACAACAGTTGTATTGATTTCGGTTATTTTCAAACGATTCAACGAATATAAAGTTACATGTTATAGAATTTGAAGACTGACAAGGGGATAAGAATAGTGTATTTCAAACGAAAAGTTGATAAACACTTGAAGTTTGGAGTATTGTAATATTCTATTTTTGTATAAAGAATAAATATAATAATATTAAATCATTTAATAATGTAATGGTATTCTCAAAATAATATTACATTTTCAAATAAAGTTAAGGATAATAATGGAATCGCATTGTATATTTATTTTTATTTCTGTGAAACTTGTAATTTAACCACACTTCTGCTTAGAAAATAATTATAATAATACAATAATCAATACACATAATTTCATATATCATAGTATTTTTTATACATACGAGGCAATTGATATTATTTTTAACTGCATTGTAGACGGAAAAAATATTAAATTATTGTTCGTGGTTTCTGTGTATGAGATAAGTACACAACTCATGTGCACAATATCGCCTTAATGCAAATAAAATATAGGTAATAATTTAAGTTTGCAAAGTCGGCTTTGCAGTGGACTTATTCTAAAATATTAGTTTCACAAAAGAAGTGTACCGGCATCATCATCAAGACCGGGTGTTTATATTATTATTTCAAATCAAAAACCGCAGTTGAAGATTTGAAATTCTCGTTATTATTTCTTTGCTCGCCGCAGACATGATAACGTTTCTCGCGGTCAGCGCGACTTCTTCAACATTAATATTAACCAAAGACGACTGCGGTTTTCGGGAGAGGCAGGTACATAGGTACCTCCTACAGCAGCTTATTTAGGGGGCCCTATGCTCACATTGGATTTAATTATTGTATCAAAGCAAGACCGCACCGACTAAAGTTTACGGCATAGGTACCGCACGATGTAAGCAGCATATTTCGGGCTTAACACACCCTTAATAATAATTATAATATGTATAAATAAATAATAATGTATGTACCCGATGGTTCGTTTATGATTGACCACTCGTTATTTCAAAAAGTAAAAATGTTATCGAAAAAAAAAAAAAGTGCCTTCTAGTCGTTTTTAAAATATCTATACGTTTTTAATACTTTTAACCTTCACTTTTTTTAATTTTTTACATTTTTATATTACATTAAATTTTCACTGAATATTATAATTTCACTTTCACTTATAATAGCATTTTCTATAAACTAAACAAATTTAAAAATATTTTATACTTCGACTTAACATCAGATTGCAAATCATATTCACAATATAATTTTTTTTTGTAAATTAAAATTATATAACCCACAGAAACAAAAAAAATAAATAAGATGAATGTCACAATAATTGACTTGAATGGTTTTTGCTGTATAACTTTTGAATGTTTTCCATGGTAGGTATAACATTTAAATAAATATGTATTGATGATTTATAGTGATTTTTATTCTACAAAGTCATGTTAAATACTGTAATGTTTCATTAAATTATTTTAATTTAGTTTTAAGTTTTTCCTGAAATTCCATTTCCTTAATTTAGTATTCTCAGATACATGATAAATGTATTATATAACAAAAAAATGTCAAAAAAAAAAATGTATAAAAAATATAATTGCCGTAATAATAACTTACGACATTCTAACACATTTTTAAGACAGACGAATAAACAAAATTCATAACATTATAGAAACCTTTACAACCTGAATATAAAATAGGCACTTAAACAAAAAAAATCGGTGAATATATCCACATCAGTCAAACAACAATTTTCTACAAGCTATTGTGCCATTTCACTTAATGTGGTAGTTTTTCGTGCTCCAGTATACTAGAAAATTTCAAAAATTACCAGTTTAAAGTATCGTTTTTGTTCTTGTTCCAGTCTATGGAAGATTTAAGCTGTAAAGCGACGTTGAGAAATATATTTCTAGCTTTTTCAACTATTCAAAATGTGGTTACCTCTACGGATACACAATTTATTATACATTCTGCAGATAAAACACATACCTACTATATCGCTGCAATAATGCGACTTCACTCTTCAGTCCCCTCAAAACGTACGAAATTAACAATTGATTTAAATCTAATTTAAATTAACTGACTATAATTATGTATAGTAATATTATACTGTTAGACATTTAAAATAATTGTATTTAAAACACATATATTTGAATGATACTGAAACAGTATAATTTAACAGCTGTGCAAAGATAAGAAGATAAATATCAAGTGTAGTTATCTTGACCTGTATCCATAATACAATTTGTACAAATTTAAAAATGTACCTACCTACATTTGATCAAAATTATATAATAATAATTATTATTTTTTAAAGAAATAATTGCAATAGATTAATTAAAAATTAACATTTTAAGTAGGTAGTAAAATAAACATACTTCAAATTTTGTTAATTAAATACAAAAATTTGGATGACCAAAATGTATTTGAGAAAAGCATTCACCATTTGAACAAAAAATTATCCGTTCGTTTGGGAGAGTTTTAATTAAGAGGATGCAGCACACAGTTTGTTTTTTCACTCTGACTTATGCACAATATATTGTCAATTTTGTGTTTAGCAGAACCAATTTTATGTTGTTATCTTTATTACAGTAACTATAAGTGACTTTTTATTAAATTTAAAGTTTATTAGGTATTATGTTAGATAAATATCAGTAAAATGTTGGCCAAATCACATATGATACCTAGGTATATAAACACGCCTAAACAAGTAATGAAACATTAGTTGTCCATATAGTTTGGATATCGCCAAATTATAATATGTATAAATTCACACAAATTATATGTACATTTTAAGAATTTCAACCAAATGAAAGCCACCCCTCCAAAGACCGTTTTTACTTTTTAGCCTATGACAGGTACTACCTCCAGTACATGTGTATCCATAATATTGTAAATGTATTTTAGACTTGGGGAGCGGAGGAGATTCATACTTATATGTTGTACAGTTATTTAAAATATACCCAATTGAAAATAAATTTAATGTGTTATAATAAAATATAATATGAAAAACTCGCAAATTCAATAATAAAAAAATAATAATCATATTTTTTGGTGCTTACATATTATTATTATCTATAGATTTTTAAATCATTCGCGTATTATCTTTAGTTTTCGAACACTGAAAATGAATACGGATTATCGTCTGCGAATCCGTTATAACAATGCGATGTATTACCTATATTATATTATTATTATACTTTAGTATTGTGTTACGGTCAGACGGTTTATCGTGTCGTTTTAGAGGTGTTTTGCGTAGTCGTGTCCTGACGCATAACGCAACTAAGAATAATAATTCTTTCCAAGAATAATGTTGTTGTTGTTGTCGTGCCACCCGCGAGTCATTTTATTAATATCTCCAAGTGCTACTTAGTAGAAGGACTTAAAAATAAAATACTTTTTCGTGTCGTCAGAGGTGTATATAAAATTGTATCGCCGTATGGTGGGGGACCCGAAAGCGACCGGTCTCTGACATTCCGTTTAGATTCTGAGCCGAGTCATAAGGAATTGTAATATAACCTCATAATAATAGAGATATATTTGTTTTACGTAGGTACCTGCCTATTTTTATTTTTTTGTTTTGCTCCGGAAAACGCTATTTTGAGTAGCGTAAACCAACAAAAAAGTTTTACGGTGTACCTTTTTTTTTAGATTTCACGCGGATTGTATTTTTTCCTCGAATTTCCCCTAATAGTGTTTTCGAAAAATCGTGAATGTTTTTACAACGGCGGAGTAATGTAAGTAAGCAACACTTTCCCTAGA